GTAGGGTAACAGAATGGATAAGAAAACAAGATCCATCTAGATGCTGTTTACAGGAAACCCACTTTAAATCTGAGGGCACCTTCAGATTGAAAATAAGGGGATGGAGAACCATCTATCATGCTAATCCTCAACAAAAGAAAGCCACAGTAGCCATACTTATATCAGACAATCTAGACTTAAAAATGAAGACTGTATCAAGAGATGCAGAAGGGCATTATATCATAATCAAGGGGTCTATCCACCAAGAAGACCTAACAATTGTAAACATTTATGCACCAAATGTGGTAGCACCCAAATATATAAATCCATTATTCACAAACATAAAGAAACTCACCGATAATAATACTATAAGAGTAGGAGACTTCAACACCCCACTCGCAGCAATGGACAGATCATCTAATCAAAAAAATCAACAAGGAAACAATGGCTTTGAATGACACACTGGACCAGATGGACTTAACAGATATATTCAGAACATTTCACCCTAAAACAGCAGAATATACATTCTTCTCCAGTGCACATGGAACGTTCTCCAGAATAGACCATATACTGGGACACAAATCAGACCTCAACAAGCACAAAAGATCGAGATCATACCGTGCATATTTTCAGATCACAACGGTATGAAACTCGAAATCAACCACAAGAAAAAAATTTGGAAAGGTAACAAATACTTGGAGACTGAAGAACATCCTACTAAGGAATGAATGGGCTAACCAAGCAGTTAAAGAGGCAATTCAAAAGTATATGGAAGTCAATGAAAATGATAACACCACAACCTAAAACCTCTGGGATGCAGCAAAGGCGGTCATAAGAGGAAAGTATATAGCAATCCAGGCCTTCCCAAGGAAGGAAGAAAGATCTCAGATACACAACCTAACCTTACGCTTTAAGGAGCTGGAAAAAGAACAGCAAATAAAACCCAAAACCAGCAGAAGACAGGAAATAAAGATTAGAGCAGAAATTAATACTATCAAAACAAACAAACAAACAAACAAACAAACAAACAAAAAACAGTAGAACAGATCAATGAAACCAGAAGCTGGTTCTTTGAAAGAATTAACAAAATTGATAAATCACTAGCCAGTTTGATCAAAAAGAAAAAGGAAAGGACCCAAATAAATAAAATCAGGAATGAAAGAGGAGAGATCACAACCAACACAACAGAAATAAAAACAATAATAAGAGAATATTATGAGCAATTATATGCCAATAAAACAGGAAATCTGGAAGAAATAGAAAAATTCCTAGAAACATATCCATTACCAAAACTGACATAGGAAGGAATAGAAAATTTGAACAGACCCACAACCAGTAAGGAAATCGAATTAGTAATCAAAACTCTCCCAAAAAACAAGAGTCCAGGGCCAGATGGCTTTCCAGGGGAATTCTACCAAACATTTAAGGAAGAGCTAACACCTATTCTCTTGAAACTGTTCCAAAAAATAGAAACGGAAGGAAAACTTCCAAGCTCTTTCTATGAAGCCAGCATTACCTTGATCCCAAAACCAGACAGAGACCCCACTAAAAAGCAGAACTATAGACCAATTTCCCTAATGAACATGGATGCAAAAATTCTCAAAAGGAGATTAGCCAACCGGATCCAACAACACAGTTAAAAAATTATTCACCACGACCAAGTGGGATTTATACCTGGGATGCAGGGCTGGTTCAATATCTGCAAAACAATTGACATGATTCATCACATCAATAAAAGAAAGGACAAGAACCATATGATCCTCTAAATAGATGCACAGAGAGCATTTGACAAAATACAGCATCCTTTCTTCATAAAAACCCTCAAGAAAGTAGGGATAGAAGGAGCATACCTCGAGATCATAAAAGCCATATATGAGCGACCCAATGCTAATATCATCCTCAATGGGGAAAAACTGAGAGCTTTCCCCCTAGGGTCAGGAACAAGACAGGGATATCCATTCTCACCACTATTATTCAACATAGTATTGGAAGTCTTAGCGTCAGCCATCAGAAAACACAAAGAAATAAAAGGCATCCAAATCAGCCAGGAGGAGGTCAAACTTTCACTCTTTGCAGATGACATGATACTCTATATGGAAAACCCAAAAGATTCCACCAAAAAACTGCTAGAATTGATTCATGCATTCAGTAAAGTTGCAGGATATAAAATCAACACACAGAAATCGGTTGCATTCCTATATACCAATAATGAAGCGACAGAAAGAGAAATCAAGGAATCAATCCCATTTACAGTTGTACAAAAAAACATAAAATACCTAGGAATAAATATAACCAAGGAGGTAAAAAATCTATACACTGAAAACTATAGAAAGCTTATGAAAGAAATTGAAGACACAAAAAAATGGAAAAATTTCCATGCTCATGGATTAGAAGAATATTGTTAAAATGTCAATACTACCCAAAGCAATCTACATATTCAATGCAATCCCTATCAAAATAACACCAGCATTCTTCACAGAGCTAAAACAAACAATCCTAAAATTTTTAAGGAACCAGAAAAGACCCTGAATAGCCAAAGCTATCTTGAAAAAGAAAACCAAAGCAGGAGGCATCACAATCCCAGACTTCAAGCTATAATACAAAGCTATAATATCAAGACAGTATGGTACTGGCACAAAAACAGACACTCAGATCAATGGAACAGAATAGAGAACCCAGAAATGGACCCACAAACGTATGGCCAACTAAGCTTTGACAAAGCAGGAAAGAATGTCCAATGGAATAAAGACAGCCTCTTCTGCAAGTGGTGCTGGGAAAACTGGACAGCGGCATGCAGAAGAATGAACCTGGACCACTTTCTTACACCAGACACAAAAATAAACTCAAAAGGGATGAAAGACCTCAATGTAAGGCAGGAAACCATCAGAATCCCCGAGGAGAAAGCAAGCAAAAACCTCTTTGATCTTGGCCGCAGCAACTTCTTACTCAACACGTCTCCAGAGGCAAGGGAATCAAAAGCAAAAATGAACTACTGGGACCTCATCAAAATAAAAAGCTTCTGCACAGCAAGGGAAACAATCAGCAAAAGTAAAAAGCAACTGACAGAATGGGAGAAGATATTTGCAAATGACATATCAGATAAAGGGTTAGTATCCAAAATCTATAAAGAACTTATCAAACTCAACACCCAAAAAACAAATAATCCAGTGAAGAAGTGGGCAAAAGACTTGAATAGACACTTCTCCAAAGAAGACATCCAGATGCCAACCAACACATGAAAAAATGCTCAACATCACTGATCATCAGGGAAATACAAATCAAAGCCACAATGAGATACCACCTCACACCTGTCAGAATGGCTAACATTAACAACTCAGGCAACAACAGATGTTGGCGAGGATGAGAGAAAGAGGATCATTTTTGCACTGTTGGTGGGAGGCAAACTGGGGCAACCACTCAGGAAAACAGTATGGAAGTTCCTCAAAAAGTTAAAAATAGAACTACCCTATGACCCAGCAATTACACTACTAGGCATTTATCCAAGGGATACAGGTGTGCAGTTTTGAAGAGACACATGCACCCCCATGTTTATAACAGCACTATTAACAAGAGCCAAAGTATGGAAAAAGCCCAAATGTCCATCGATGGGTGACTGGATAAAGAAGTGGTATATATATACAATGGAGTATTATTCGGCAATCAAAAAGAATGAAATCTTTCCATTTGCAACTACGTGGATGGAACTGGAGGGTATTATGCTAAGCGAAATTAGTCAGTCAGAGAAAGACAAATATCATATGACTTCACTCATACGAGGACTTTAAGACACAGACCAGATGAACATAAGGCAAGGGAAGCAAAAATAATATAAAAACGGGGCGTGGGGGGGACAAAACATAAGAGACTCTTAAATATGGAGAACAAACAGAGGGTTACTGGAGGGGTTGCAGGAGGGGGGATGGGCTAAATGGGTAAGGGGTAATAAGGAATCTACTCCTGAAACCATTGTTGCACTATATGCTAACTAATTTGGATGTAAATTAAAAAAATAAAATTAAAAAACAAAAGATTTCCGGGGCAGGGAGTGACTGGGTGGCTCGGTTGGTTAAGCATCTGACTTGACATGATCTCACAGCTAATGAGTTCGAGCCCCGTATTTGCTCTCTGCTGTCAGCACAGAGCCCACTTCAGATGCTCTGTCTCCCTCTCTCCCTCAGCCCTTCCCCTGTTCTCACTCTGTCTCTCTCTCAAAATTAAATAAACATTTAAAAAAAAGATTATAGGGGACAGTGTAGAGAACTATTAGTGGTTGTTTACTATTAATTCAAAGTGTTCCCATCCTGCCTTGTTGTGTCACTTCTTTTCCCCAGAAGTACACAAGGCCACTTGAATTTTGGCACAAAGAAACTAAATGTTTGGATTCAGCTAAGGTCTGTGTGAGATACGTAGGCGAGATGAAAAACAGAGGGACAGGATCATGATGGAAATAATGAGCTAAAGCACATTTGCTGGCTGAGGTTCTATATTAGTAAGGCGTTACCTTGAGACTATAAGTAAAAGATGCCGGCGACAATGGGGGGTGAGACAGAAATTTATTTCTGACTCACATAAAAGAAGTTGTAAGTAGCTGCAGGTCTTGTGTTCTTGGTGTGTGTCATCACTATGAAAAGGAACACATGGGAGTAAACACCTTCTGGAGGGCAGAATTTACCTCAACATGATAAAGTTCATGCATGAAAAGCCACAGCTAACATCAGACTCAATGGTGAAAAACTGAAAGCTTTTCCTTTAAGATCAAAAACAGAACAAAGATGCCCACTCGTGTCACTTCCATTCAACACAGTGCTGGTCATCCTGGCCAGAGCAATCAGGAAAAAATAAATAAACAAGTCATCTAAATCAGGAAGGAAGAAGCAAAATTATCTCTTTGTAGATGGTATTATCTTATATGTAGAAAATCCTAAAGACTCCACATACAAAAAAAAGGTTATAACTAATAAAGCAATTTAGTAAAATTGCAGGACATGAAATCAGCATACAAAAATTAATTGTGTTTCTATACACTAACAACAAACTACTCAAATAGAAAATTAAGAAAACAGTCCCATTTATCCTAGCATCAAAAAGAATAAAATATGTAACAATAAATGTGACTAAAGAGCTAAATTCTTACACACTGAAACCTATAGAACATTGATGAAAGAAATTAAAGAAGACACAAATAAATGAAAAGACGTCCTGTGTTCATAGATTAGGAGATTTAATATTGTTAACACGTTCACACTACCCAACGCACTCTACAGATTCAGTCCCCATTATGTATCAAAATTTAAATGTATTTTTTGATAACCAGAAGCCCTATTTTGGAACTTATCCTGTGGAGATAATCATACAAGGATATAAAGATGTATGATCACCATGGAATGTTTTAGAATGGGGAGAAATTACAATCTAAATGTCCATACATGGTACAATGGTACCATGGAATATTACATAGTCATTAACATGTTTATGAGGTTCTATATTAACATATTAAAATATTCACAACAAATTAGTGATAAAATAGCAACTACAGAATACAGTGCACAGTACTTTCCCACTTATGTAAATTTAATATCTCTATATAGGAATAGTTGCACATCCATCCAATTCCTGAAATTCTGGGTGGTGGGATTTGTGATTTCTTCCTTATAATTTCCTGTGATTTCTGTACTTTTTTGATGAGGAGCAAGAATTTTTTTATAATCAAGTAAAAAAATAAATAAAGTGGTTTCATTCTGGAGCGAGCATGCGAGTGAGTGAACAAGTGGAATGACTCCCACAAGGTGCATTAACTGGAATGTGATTCTCGGCCAGAATAGCCCTATATGCTAATGGTGCATGAGCCTTGTCATGCATGCTGAGGAGGGGACCACTGGTGAGATTGGCCAGATCTCGAATCTACCTTCCCTCCAGCTCCACTCACCTCTGCCCTAGTTCAGCATCAGATTCCTCACTTGTAAAACAGCACTTTTCTTTAGTAACTTGCCTGTAATCACGGAGATAACAGGTGGAAAACACCTGAACTTGAAACCAGACAGCTGACCCAGAGGCTGTGCATTACCACTCCCATAAACAACCCTGACTCTGCCCAGAAGTGCTGACCGGCCTCACTCTGGCTCCCTCCTTCAACCTCTTCCAGATTTCTATCACAGCCCCTGAAGACTTTGTTGCAATCCTATCTTTATTATCAGCCATTCACTTTAGACTTAGGCTGTCCCGTGTGGCTATTGACATTGAAATTAATCAAAACTAAATAACATTTAAAAATTCAATCCTTCAAGGGCACTTGCCGCTTTCCCAGCACTTGGAGGCCACACAGAGCTAGTGGCTACTGTATTGGGGGACGCAAACATAGAACATTTCCATCATCACAGGAAGCTCTGAACTCTGAGAGGCCAGGAGTGGCGTCCAGGTCACCACTGTGTTCTCAGCAGCGAGGTGAGGATCTAAGACCCAGAAGGCGCTCACTGAGTGAGGGAGGGATTAATGACATAATCCATCAAAGCCCAGCACACTGATGCTAGGTGGGAAAGGCATTTAGCAGGAGCTAACTTTTCAGCCAAGTCCCCAAGGTAATTATGTACATGGGTGGGTCAAGAGGAGGGTAGAGCATTCCGGATGGGGAAAAGACTGATTTAGTGAGAAATGTGAAGGGGGAATTGGCAGCATTAAGCTATTGTTCTCAAGTTATTTTCTCTCTGCCAATTAAAAATCATCTGAGGTGATGTTTTCTTATCGGACTTCCTCCCTGATTTGGTATTATTGTAAGGTCTGCTCTGACTAATTGGGCTCTTGGCAGTTCAACAGTCAGGCAATTTTTTAAATCTTTTCATTTTATTTTGTTTCATTAATAATTTTTGATTGGAGGTGAAATCATACACCCCAGAGAACTACAAGAAGTTTTCCAAGAGACTTTCAACCCAGATGCCCACTAGTTATGTGTTCATATACTTATTATCAAAATTGGTGTGTCCTAAATGGCCCTGGGGTGTAGGAGAAGACTGCCAAATTATGGGAGGATCTTTGTTCAATTCCTTAGGCAAGAGATTCTGAACCCGTTACCGCTTGAAGGAATAAAAACAGAGCTGGTCCCAAATTAATTCTAAGAATTATCTTTTTTATTTTAATTTAATGTTAATCCAGACTACATGGGGTTGAAATCCAGCTCTACCACTTACTAGCTGTGTGAGCCTCAGTTCCTCTTCTGTAAAATGGGGATGATATAAGTGTTAGGCATATTAAATAAGGTAATTTTTGTAAAGTGCTTAGTATGGTGCCAGGTACAAAATAAGCACTACATAGGAGCTTGTTATATACAAAAACAAAAAAAAACAACTACAATGTACATGTTTTGTTTTGAAATATCTCCAATTATCTGCAATTGGTTGATGTCATTAAGAATGAAAGTAATAGGGCACCTGGTGCCTCAGTTAGTTAAGCATCTGACTCTTGATTTCAGCTCAAATCATGATATCACAGTTTATGAGATCAAGCCTCACATTGGGCTGTGAGCTGACAGCACAGAGCTTCCTTGGGATTCTCTCTCTGCCCTTCCCTCTGTTCGAGCTCTCTCTTACTCTCAAATAAATAAACTTTAAAAAAATGAAAGCAGTAACTTTACAAAAACCTGGAAATCCAAAATTTCACCCCCTAACTCCCTATTACCCTGATCCAAACTACCATCATTCCGTGCTTGGACTAATGCAGTAGCCAAAAGTTTGGTCTCCCAGTGTCCTCTCTGACTTCCTCTATGGCACCAGAGATACCTTTTTTTTTTTTAATTTTTTTACATTTATTCATTTTTGAGAGACAGAGAGAGACAGAGCACAAGCGGGGGAGGGGCAGAGAGAGAGGGAGACACAGAATCCGAAGCAGGCTCCAGGCTCCGAGCTGTCAGCATAGAGCCTGACGCAGGGCTCTAACCCACGAACTATGAGATCGTGACCTGAGCCGAAGTCGGATGCTTAACTGACTGAGCCACCCAGGCGCCCCCAGAGGTATCTTTTTAAATGGTAACTTAGATCTTATCACCTCTCTATCTAAAATTCACCAGTGGCTACCTATCTAACAAGATGGCAGATTCCAATTTGTCATCAGTAAGAATTTGTTTAGATATTCACTGCACCCAAAGTACCCTGTGTCTTAAGCTGTCATTGCCCTTTGAGCAGGGTGAGGAAACTGAGGTTCAGAGAGAATAAGTAACATACCAAAGGCTTCCCAGCAAATTAGTGGCAGAAGTCAGGTTTGAACTCGGAGTCCACAACTCTTGCTCTTAATCAGAATGACGTATGGGTGGACTGTGATCGCTTAACTACTGAGTACAAGGATCTCCTAACACAAGTCCCCTCAGCCCATTCCCAGACTGGGAGCCTCTGAAGGGTCAGTGTTAATCTCAGGATTGCCTGGCTTTTTGAAAATACGTTTCACAGAGAGGAGAAAAAATATGGGGTGTTCTCTTTGGTTACAGTTCCTAAGACTCAGTCCCTATAGAGCTCTTCTGTAGGTCCCCAGCCCTGTCTGAGATTGACATTCCCACTGCCATGCCTTTGTGCTCCTCCTTTAGAATGTTCTTAGGCTCGCCATGAAGGAAATGCCTACACCATGGCTAAGATCCATCTGACATATCTACCATTTTGTGTCCAACAACTCAGGAGGAAGAGCTCTGAGACAAAGACACATCACTCTCTGTGTTCATATTGCCCTTGCAGACAAATCAGTTTGGGATTAAACTATTACAACCTCCAACATATGGTTTCTGCCATTTTGGTGTCCATTGAACACTGATCAGTAATCAAATTCTCAGGCTGATACTATATATTATTCATTCCTGAATATTACCAATAACTTAACTCCATTGTACGCATTGTTACACATGTATACAACTTTCTATGTAATTATCTGTAGATTCAAGAATAGCTTTATGTATTGTGTGTATCATACATTTTCACGTCTATGCCTATAGCTTCAGTTACTAGCTGAAATTCACGTCTCCATTCCCGACAACGCTTTTAAGTTCCAGATCCATATATCCAGCAGCCCACTCAATATCCCCACTTTCATGTCTCAGACACACAAACTCAGAAAATCCAGAACTAAATCCCTGATCTTCCTTCCAGAGCCTGCTCTTTCTCCATGCTCCTTATCTCAGTAAATGGCAGTCACCATCCAACCAGGTATTCAAGCCAAAAACCTGGAAGCAATCCTTGACACCACCTCTCTCCCTACCTATAAGATCTATTCACCCCAAGTGCTGACAACTTTACATCTTAAAGTCTTTCATTCAGCAACCTTCTCATTTCTTTAACGATTGCTTATTCTACAGCACTGTATGAAAAATGGATGTCACCATGGTGAAAAGATAAGATATAGTACTTCCTTCTCAGAGCCCATGGTCATAACCCACAACAGTACATTTTATTGAGTGAATGAATAATACATATACGTGAAGGTAGTTTCATACAGGATAGGGACCTTACATAATTTCACTGATGTGAAATTGAGTATTTTGTACTAGATCTTGTCAAGGGATGACCTAAAGAAAAGTAGAGTATAATGGTCAAGGGCATGGACTTGAAAATCACACAGAATCATGTTGTCAATCAGTTGATCAATATTTATTACACACCTATTGTCTTAGTCCACTCTGGCTGCTACAATAACATACCATAGACAGGGTTACTTAAATAAGAGGCATTTATTTCTCACAGTTCTGGAAGGTGGACAGTTCAAGATCAAGGTGCCAGCTGATTCAGCCCCTGGTGAGAGCCTACCTCCTGGTTGGCTGTGTGGCTATCTTCTTGCTGTGTCTTCACATGGTGAAGAGAGAGTCCTGGTGTCTCTCCTCTCATACAAGCAGTGATCTCATCATAGATGCCCCACCCTAATGACCTCATCTAAACCTAATTACCTCTCAAAGGTCCCACCTCCAAATTCCATCACACTGTGGTTGAGGGTTTCATCATATGAATTTGGGGGAGGATATAAACAGTCAGTATTTAACATCTACTATGTGCTAAGCTTTGTTCTGCATCTTGAGAATTCAGGTAGGAACAAGAAAATCTCTGCACCCCCAGCATGGTGGAACAGTTCTCCATGTTTGAGATTTTCCCCACCTTAATAGGAGGAAGAAATTTCTCCCCTCTGTGGAAGCCATATACTCACTTTCTCAAACTCCTTTGTGGCTAAGTTGCAGGCATGTGACCTGGGCTCAGACTAACAGAAGCCTCCATAGACTATTTGACACAAGGGAAGTGGCACCAGGAAGAATCTGTTTAAACAAGAGTAGTGGCAGCTGCATCCAGCCCCTGGGAGCTGCAGTGGAAGAGGGTCTAGCAGGAGCAACCCAGTGGTGACATTAGCACAATCAGCTGCTGAACTAATTCAGTGATGTGATTTAGGATCCTGTTCCATGACTGGTTCTCCAGGGCCACTCAGTATCTTTTATGAAATCACTTCCTTGCCTAAACTAACCCAAATTGGTCTCCATTGTTTCCAACTAAGAATCCAAGGCAATATACATGCCTGAGTTAAATCTCAAACCCTGACTGTACTGGCTGAGCATCTTATTTAACTTCTTGCAGTTTCAGTTTCCTCATCTACAAAATGAAAACTGTTCAATGCAATAGCTCATGAGCTTGCTGAGAAAGCTCACTGTGGTTTTCATTAGGGCCTTCCAGCTTTGATATGTCAATGTGCTCTTATGGAATAATCATCATTCTAAGCACTCAGGAAATGGGCTTCCATTTCTCCCACCTTATATTCTTCCATTTCTTTCCTGAAGAGAAACCTCCTTCCTGAGCTTCCAGCCAATTCATCCAGATTCAGAAATGAGAACCACGCCTCCTGTAAAGAAGACAGAACTCAGAATCAGACAGACCTGGATGTAAATCCTGGCTCTGCCACTTACCAGCTGTATGGCCTCAGGGGACTCACTCAACATTTCATGTCTCCTGAGTTTTGGACACCCTAATTGCAGAAGGAGATTTTTCATGCCCCTACGCACATCACCACACTCCAGACAACAAATAGCCCATATTGTAGATGTTATTGTTTGCCAGTGGTTTATCAGATAGTAAAGGAAAATATTCGTACCATCTGCTCCTTTGATAGAACATGGAACAGTTTGTTTTGTATTTATATTATCTAATTTATGTTCACAACAAACTTGAGAGAGGTATGAGGATAGTTATTCTAATTCCCATTTCATAGAAAAGAAACCAAGGGTCAGAGAAGCTGAGTCCAAGTCCGTACTTTTTTTGCTATACCCAAGTTTTAGGGGTAAGTAGCGCATTTCAACTATATTTTTTGTTTACTGAACCAAAAGTTGTGACAACAAACTAAAGCTACCTATTTTTCTAGCATACTAAAAATTAATCTTTAAAATATCTTCCTACTTTTGAAAGAACTCCCTAGTCTGTGATCCCATGAGGGAAGCCAAAGGGGACTCTCCCTGTTCTCTGGTACTGGGAAGCAGGCACATGACCCAGGATCAGCCAATGGGATGTTCCAGTTCCTGCCTGTGAATACTGAACAGGCAATCCAATGACACAAAGACAGAAGGTTTTCATCCAGTAGCATCAACTTTCCGTGCTGGGAGTCTTAGTGCCCCATAGTGGAAGTAGGGGCAATGTAGTGGCACCGTGCCAACAAGGGATTCAGCTGTGGCCTAACCTCCTTGGAATATATACACCTTTTAAACTTGGTTCTCCAGTCTTCCATAAATATTGGAAGCTATTCAGTATCTTTTCAATACATGCATTTTCTATGAATTCCGTCACTGGTACCTAGTAACCCCGATTGATACCCTTAGGGAAACATCGTGACATACTGAGACCTTCTAACACACTCAGCCTGAGAGCAGGATTTATGGGTAGACTGGTCCTGTTTGGGCTCCATCCAAGCTCCAAAGTCTGGAAGGACTAGGCAGCTTTGAATCACCTACAGGGCAGGCCCATAACAAAGGCCACAAGGACATGAGCCAGCCAGGCTCCTGTGTCCTGTGGACTTCTATCCACACTATAAATTTCATGGCCACATACAGACAACCTCGATAAACAATTCATTACAAACCAGGGCTGGTGTAGTAAGGGAATGGCTGAGAGGTATCAGTGAGAGTGTATTTATGGAATTATTTTAATGAGAAGCTACCACTGAGAGAAAACGGGCACAGACTTGGAGCAGAAGAAAGGTACTTCTTTAGAAAGCCTCATGATGACTGCTTAAGAACAACTTCCTTATGCTGCAGGATTTCTGTAACTTCAGAGTCTTAAAATAAGTTCTGCTATTTATCAAGAGGAAGATTAGCCTTTAGTGGAATCTTCCCCAAATATTGAAACCTACTATCCGCCATGTGTCTTGCAGGCACATTTTCCTGCGTTGAATCCCTCGCCTTTCCAAACTGTTCTGTAGGGTCACGATTGTCATCTTTGTGTTGTTTGTTTTGCAGATGAGGAAACTGGAAGTCAAAGAGGTTAATTGGTGTACCTAGGCTCACACAGGCATTAAGTGGCAGAGTTGGGAGTAGAGCCCAGGACTGCCTGGCTCCAAAGCCACATTCTTTCCACTAACTCATGGCGCTGTTTTTCTTTTCAAGGTGATTGTCGAGATCCTTTGCCAAAAAGTGCTAACATCGAGTGTCTCTGACAGTGGAATGAACAGGAAGTCTCTCTGTGGCCTGGGTGACATGTGGGAGTAACTGACCAAGAGATACGGGTTTGTGGGGCTGGGCTGGGCTGTCAAGAGAGGTGGGGTGATCTCTGACTTTCTGACTTGGTTGTTTTTCTCAGGAAGTCTTGGTGGGGTCATTAATTCAGGAAGAGTGAGGAAGAGAGAGAGGTTGGGGGGTGGAGAAGAGAGATACTTAGCCCTCACTCATATCTTCACTCCTGCCTTGAATGGCATCTACAAGCCCCCAAATCCAAACCAGCAACTCCTCCCTGGAAGCAGCTGGTGCCCCTTCAACAAGCCCTTCATAGCACCGACTCTCCCCCCACTTCAGAGGCTCTGTGTCAGTCAGGCTTTGTCCTGACAGATCCCCTTTATCATTCTTGTTTTTCCATTGGACAATCACTTCTCTGGAGCTATATTAGGCAATGTAGCTAGGCATAATTTAGGGTAGGATGTAGAAAATGGAACACCTTTTTAACCTTGAACAGAATGTCCATGGTAGTGATTCAATTAACATACAATTTGCTTCATTTCAGAACCTTCTGAGGGCAAAGCCTACCCTACCCACCAGCTGCCCCAGGAGAACACCATAGGAGCAGAGGTTTATGGGAAGGGCAGCCTTTCAAAGTGGGGAGCCGAGCTGTCCTGAAAGAGGACTCCTGTCCCCTTAGGGGCCAGACCTTCTTCCCGCCAAACTACTCTGACTATAGTTGGCTATGACAAAAGCATGGGAACATTCAGGGAATGTTCAAGTTTTTCAGATACTAGATGTTCAAAGCAATGAGGGAGGTTTCCCAGACCACACCTGGCCTTCTAGGTTCACTTCTCCTTACTCCCTGGGGAGACAGAGTGAGTTACCTGGTTGCCAAACAAGAGCACATGTTTACGTTTCTTGAATGGATGGTGCTGATCTGTCAAAGATCCCCATTTTCTTCCCCATCCTTCCCTACCTAGCAAAGGGCACTGTTTTACAGACGCCAATTTGCTCTCAGGTCAGGTGCTCTAAAGTCGGGTCTTGGGTTAGGGAATCGAGAAGCCCACTTGGGTTCTCACTGAAAGTACTTACTCCAGTCATAAAAGTGACATTTTGGTCCCATCTGCTTCACATCTTTTCTTGCTTCGGAATCAGAGAGGAAGACAAATATTCACTGTGCTCCCTCAAAACTCCAGCTGTCACACTGAGAGCTATTATTATTAATATCATCATTTCCTTGTTTCTGAGGCAGATTTATTAACAATGAAAACTTAGGATTTCCATCTCCATTGGTTTAGTCAGAGATGTCCCAATATAAGGCAAGCAGCTTCAAGATCGGCACCTGTCCCTTCACACTTCCAAACCCCCCATCCATCACTCCACACCCACATATCTTCCTGTCTTCTCAGTGTGTAAATTCCTCTCTCAGAAACTGGGTACCTAGGTCACTTACAATACAAAAAAGGCTGTCATAAATAATGTTGAGATCCTCATTGTCCCACTGTCTGGAACCAGGGCTTTGTTAGGTCATTTTTGCAGAAGCCTGTCAAGCATCTAGGAGGAGGAAGGGTCTTACCCATGAACCTGCTCAGTCCCTGGAGTGTTTGTACACATTCCTACCAAATGATGTAAGGGAATTGGATGACAATATGGTGTCATAGTATATATGGAAATAAGTGTGTGCATGCACATAAAAGTGTATGCTTGTCTGCACAAGCCCAGGCGTCTGCATCTGTCTGTGTCCAGATCTTTGGCAAGCCCGCTGTGCCTCATTTTCCAACTGAGAACCAACTATCAGCAGTTTGTGAGTTTGCAAGGAATTGGAGAAAGGAAGCGATAGCCATAGAATGTCCAATGTCAGTCTTGGGCAGCAATCTGCACATGGGATTGAGGATGTGTTTCCATAACACTTTAGGTAACATTAAGGAAGAAGGGATTGTACAAAAACATGGGGGTGCTAATGCAAATTATGGGGGAATCTAAAGCCTCCCAATGCCATACGGGCCCTTGACATTCCCACCACCTAAGCGATACTTCCCAAGGCAATGGCACGCTGTCACTCTTGAAATTTACCTGTATAAGTGGGACTACACCATTCTTGCTCATTTATTTGATATGTGTCTGCCTGTGCTTCCTCCTTTCTCTCAACTCCTACTATTTCATCTGAGCCTTTCCTATAAAACCTAGGGATTGACAAGATTTTCAAGGGCAGGGAGTTACCTAATACCCAGCACTCAGTGGAGCTTGGCCCAGAGAGGTGCTCTGGAAGTGTTGGATATAGAACAGAAGCATCTTGCCATCTACAGTGTGTGGATCTTCTCCCGGTCAACAGTACATCATCTTCTCCTCTCCCCCAGTGTCTACACGGTGAGTCATCTGATATATAGCCAGCCCTCATCGAAAGCCTGGCTGAACTATTGAGGCTCCAGACAGAAAAAATATTTACCATGCCTTCTCCAAAGTTTCTACCATAACAAAGAAGAGAGGAGGTGGAATTGTGTTCCATTTGGGAGTTTTCAGACATAACCTAAAAAGCAGTTCTTACCCTGCTACCCCACAAGAATCACTACTTGAAGAACTGACATCTCATTTCACCCTTGGCTTTGTTGAGAGCCAGAAAAAAAACCAACAACGTGGGGAATGTCTCAATATTAAAAGAAATTATTGCTGCTGTGAACACCATCCATTACTATGTCCAGTGTCCCTTTTCTTTTGCTTAAGGTCAACTCATGAAGAGATACAGTGGAGCCATATGGTGTGGAATGGAAGAGAGACTCCATATGCTTAGCCTAACAGAAGCCAAGGAGGTGGCTGTCAATGGCAGAGGTTACTCTAGCAGCCGGAGTGGGGGTGGGGGGAGATTTCAAGCAAACGGGCCGTGACAATACATAATCAGAAAGGGATAGATGGCTGCAGACTGCGTGAGAGGACCACTGATCCAGGCAAAGGAAGGAGGGCTTCCTGGAGAAAGTGACAGCTAAGAAAAGAAGGTGAAGATTGCATTGGAGCTGGTTGAAAAGGGGAGGGGGATAGAGTAAAAGTACCTGACAGAGTGAAGAGCATGAGACAAGGCAAGAAAGAGGGTGGCCTGTTTGGGAAAAAGGAAAACAGCTTACTATTTCTGGAATGGGCAAGGTGAAAGATGATATTGAAAGTATAAACAGGGTTAGGGCGCCTGGGTGGCTCAGTTGATCAAGTGTCT